CGGCGTAACTTTCGAGTGTTTCGCATTTCCAGCGGGCCGCTCTCCGTTCAAAGATCGGTTTTCTCGAGCCCTGACAGACCAGCATCAGATTTCACTTGGATTTAGAGTACTGTCTTTCCGCTTCTCGGGGCATGTTTTCGCTCCGCGGTTTCTCGATCAGGTGTGGAGCGCGCGTGTCAAGTACGACCACACAAGGTTGTTTCTCTCCCTATACTCCCTATATACGTGTTGCCTGTGTCTCTCTCTGTCTCACTGTCTGTCTGTCTTCCACCGCTCTATGCTCACATGTCTTTTCACGTATTTTCGTCTCTTCTTCCACAGACAGGCCAATTTGCAGCGGGCCGCTCTCCGTTCAAAGATCGGTTTTCTCGAGCCCTGACAGACCAGTATCATATTTCACTTGGATTTAGACTACTGCTGTCTTTCCGCTTTCCGGGGCATTTTTACACACCGACCGGTCTCTTTTCCGATTTCCATCAGATTACACATCGGCTTGTCTGTCCCTTCGATCTCTCTCTGTCTGAGACTCAGGAACTCCTTTGCGGCTCTTCCCATTACACGAGGCATATCGCTCTTCGTTTCGCTCTCTGTCTGAATCTCTCGCACTCCTTTCTTTGCGATCACATCAAGTCTATCTCTCGCTGTGTCTGGATCTCGCTCTCGGGATTTGTTCGGCTTATTTCCGTTTTCCCGCCGTTGGATTGTCCGCCTGCTTTCTCCGATTCGCCGCTTTTCCGACACCTGCAACTTGCGCAGCTCTCTCCCTCTCTCTCCCTCGCACACGCGCTCCCCCCCTGCTCTCATTGCCCCCCTCCTCTCACTCCGCCCACAGCGCCTTCCACTTACTACCACCAAGCGCCACATTTCGCGCCCCTTCCTCTCACTCCCCCGAGAGCACCCTCCACTGCCTACCAGCACCCGTTCAAGTATATGTACACCGCATACATTTTTTGTTTCGGCAACGAGCTCTCCATTCTTCAAGCGTCACATTTCCAGCGGGCCGCCCTCCGCGCAGCATTCATTCCGGATTATTTTCGGCCGGTTGTCATTTCTTCTTCAAAATTCATGTTCCGAGATAGGTTGAAGTTGTCAAAAAACACCGACAGCAGCATGGTGAAGAATGAAAGAACACACGGCCGTCTGTATTCTTTGAGGTCAACAGCTTGGCGCAATCCCAGCAGCATTATGTTAGAAAAAGCTACCAAACTGTCTTGTTGAGCCTGTCTGTTACCCGCAGGGAAGATGTCCCTATATTATATGCTGTCTGGGAAACCGTAGACATACAAGTACTTTCTGACGCTATGAATTCATTGCTTAGCTGTCTCAGACTCTTTTCTATGATAGAGATGGATTCGTTCTGTCATATTAAGAAAAATAAAAAAAAACGGCAAGAAATCAGAAATAAACGCCGAAACCAAGAAATATCAAAACCAATTTCCAGCCTATGAGCCGAACCAGGTCTCACCAGGTATCACTTATCGGGCCAACCCGACGTCTATGCCCAGGTCATATCTCTTGACAAGAAAACACAAAAATCAACGCAAATTGGAGAAGAACAAATAAATTTGGCGGTACTACACAGATTTTTCTCTTCCCATTGATCCCTCCTCTCTTGAGCGACAGGGTGGGTGGGTGGGAAATTCGATCAAGTCCCAAACGAAAACTCTTTTCTCTCGCTGCTGGTTTGCTGCACTGCCTTTGCGGGCGATGCAACGTTTTTCCCTTCGAGGTCCTCGGCTTCCCAAGGATCCCAAAAGCTTCTGCCAACCTCTCTCTCTTCTCTGTACCCTGTACATAGCTATATATACCCCCGTGTACCTTTTTTTGTCTCTCGCCGCTCTTCTTTCACGAAGTTTCCGGAACGCTTCCACAAACCACGGATTATTCACGGTTTTACCGAATCCTCCTTCGTTTTCCTTGCCTCAAATAGCACTCCAGATTCATGAGCATAACAAAACGGGACCGTAGAAATTCCAACCAATCACCAGCGAGGTATGCCTGCGTTTGAAAAGTTGAAGAGCGCGAGCACGCGCAATAATACCGCTTTGTAGGAGGGAGAGACCCCCGGCGCACACAACAAATCAACCTGACGCGGCTCTAGCGCTCTACTAGTAGTAGTCCTATCGACCTCGACCGCTTGATTCCTGAGCACCAGGTGAACCGTGTGTACTTGCAGGGTATGGAGTTTGATGTTACGGGCAGGGGAAAAGGGGTGTTGTTGTTGTGTTGTTGCAGCTGTTACTACGTAGCCAGTTGTTTTTTCGAGAAATAAATGTCGGGTTTGCACAGCCTCGCCCACGCCAAAGAACGTTGGCGCTAAAGGGCGTGTTCTGTTGTCCTCAGAAGATAGATAGATAGATGTCGAGCTCACAGGATTGGAGCTGCCTGTCTATGCGATGGGCTACATAGACGTCGCACGGCAGGTATGATACTACTAGGGGCTTCCGTTTTCTCCGGCAGCATCGCATCACCGAAGCGCGACAAGCACATGATGATGTTCTTTTATACGCACAGAGAGAGAGAGAGGTGCAAGCGCTGAAATTTTTTTTGACACCCCATAGACTATAGCAGCGGTTGGACCCCCAGGGCACCAGCAGTTGACCCCGCGGAGCACAAGTTCCCCGGTTACGCGCTCATGATAGCAGGGCAGCGCCAACCTAGCTTGGTCCGGCCAGTGTGTGCTCTTGAATACAGCAGCAGGCTCATGTTGCTTAACGTTTTCTTTGGCGAAAAGCAAACGACAGCAGTGGCCGCCCGTTTCATGAGGAGCGCGCCCACGGGGGCAGAGAAGAGAAGAGTTTTTTTTTCTTGCAGCGCCAGCATCAATCAAGCTGCTGACAAACCTGCCTGTTGCCTGGTCGTGAAATCGAGGTCGAGATAGATAGGGTCGCTACAAGGGACGAGAGCCGTGCAGTTTACTACTCCGTGCTTCCAGGCAGTCCCGATTGTGTCACCGTTGTTGTGTTGATGCTCCGTCCCAAACAAGGGTCTAGGCTGGACTGTCAGGTTTTTGTTTTTGCGCCAACAACAAATATATGAGAGCGAGAGCGCGCGGAGAGAAATACAGAGAAAGACACCAGTCAGTGTACTTCTGCACACGCAACAGCCATCTCGACCGGTAGGCCATGAGGGAAGCCGGCGACAGGGTGGTGGCCACAGACAGGGTCGTAGAAGGGTTGATGGGTGGTCGCGCTGCGGGCAGTAGGGCAGGTTAGCTGTGTAGACTTTGAAATGATCAGTTGTCTAGCTGCCTCAACTAGTCTATTTTCGGTATATTGTGAATGATGAGTCCAAAGAGCGTAAAATGATCAGTGAAGACAAGTGAAGACCGATACAACTACTGCTGCAGCTGGTATTTGAGCAATTCAATGGGTAATTGTATACTTCTGTACTTCTCTGTTCTCTGTCCCCCCGAAATGTGCCCTGCCAGCTCTCTAGAGCTCCTGTGTTTTTCAAACAAGCACATCCACCAGCACACACCTGTACCTCGTGGTTTCCTAGGTTCGGGCGAGGGTATGTGTGGCGCTACGAGTGTGGATGTGTTGCTGATATATATATGTTACTCGTCTACAGCAGTAGTAGAAGTGATGTTGTAGCGTTCGTTGTATAATAGCTGCTGACACAATGACTGCTGGATCTTGGTTGGGGAACGATTTTCAGATTGTTGGGAGACGCAGCAACCACGATATCCTCGATATCTGGGCTTCGGCAGGGCTTGCAATACCCCTCCCTTTTGCTGCCCTCTGCTTTTTGCAGCAGTGGCTTCCTACGTTCGGGCGAGTGTATGTGTGGTGCTGCGAAAGAACACATATGTATGTATGTATATAATGTATGTATGTATGCACGCACACATACGTTCATGTACATACATACGTGGAGAGATTCATGATTTGGCATGGATTGCCCCATTATTCCCGAGACCTTGATACTACTCGCTATCACCGACGTCTCTTCTTTGGTCAGCCGGTTAGCGCGGGTGCTAATTAATATTCTAGACACACCTACCTATGGACTTGCCAATACACGGCGCGAAGGGCTGCAGGGCGGCAACTCCACGACTTTGCCACTACACCAGCATTTGCAAATGATCAATCAATGATCAGTCAGAACGCCTGAAGATTCAGTTGAAATGTGTGGGAAGCAGTATGTAACGCGCTCCTCGGTTCGAACTTGGGCCAGAACTTCGGAAAAAGGCAGCCTGCTGCCTCTTCATTACTTACTTCATCACCCCAACTTCTGACTACCCCACCTCTCGGCGCTAGCTAGACACCTTCCCCCTTTGCTGTTTCTGTGCAAGGGGTATGCGTGTCGCCGAGGCTACTGCTGCAACTGCCTGGCCTTGATCGGCCTCGGCAGATTGACACAACCTGTCAGTCATGCGTCCGCGGTGTGGTGTCGGGCCATCTACTGCTGTACTCTGTTGTTCCTCCGCCTCCCGGCGGTTTTTTCCGTATGGTATTTTTGAAGTACCAGTTGGCCTGCAATATACTTCCCCTGGAACACGGAAGCCAAAGTTCGCTGCTGCTGCGCACTTGAGAGTGTTCTTCGAAAGCCGCCGTGGTAATCACAACACACCTCACCCGGGTGTTTCGAGACATATTTTGCCTTGCTTAATGCAGGAATCCGAGGAACTCGCACAACTGCTGCAAGCGCCTTGCGTGGCCACCGGACAGAATAAAACATGTTTTTCCCATCATTTTCCCAATACACGTTTGTCTTGGGAAGCAAGGGTACTGGTTCCCGTTTGTCTGCTCACGAGGAATAAAATGCTGCCACCTTGTGGTCCTGGCCTCGCCGCCAAACCCCCCTTGCACCCGTCACCGTGATCGTTTTTGCTGCGATTTCTTCAATCAGTTAATTTCTGTCCAACACTGGAAATCCTCGTTTTCTCAAAGATTTACGTCATCCGTTCCCCGGACCGCTACTGCTGCTGCTCTTGGCCCTCCGTCCAGTTTTTTTTTCTCCACACGCCCTCAGACCGACCACCCCTTGTCGTCATCATGTTGGGCAAGGCGATGAGCTTCACCGCTCTGGTGTGCGTGGCCATCGCGCTTCTCGTGGGCACCATGACTCCCGCAGGTGAGACGGCTGCTCATCCGCTACAACAGCAGTACTATTGAGTTCGAATAAAAAATGATACCACCAAAGTACTAGTGTGTGCACATTTACCCGAAGCGCAGGCCGTCGTTACCCTTGAGTTCGCTTGTGGATGGATCTATACCAACCTTACTGAAGTTTCCGTGGCTGTTTTGGCGTTAATGTTGGCTTTCAACAAGGAAAATCACGATACTGCTGTAACCCAGATGTATATGATTTCGTTTTTTCTGAGGTGACGAGGCCTGCAGGACAAATGAAAAGATTTTACTTGGCTGTTTAATTTATTTGGCTGACCTCTTTGGTCGTCGGAGTTTGAACTACTATTCATACGTACTTGGTGCGGGGGGAAACAGCTGTACTAAAATACTACCTCTGTTTTGTGACACTCGTTTCCTCGAACACTTGACAGTCTTCGTATCCGTGTCATTCTCCAGGTTGACGATAACCTGCAGCAACGTGGCCGTTATTGTAAACAGCATCGGTTGGACAGTGAGACAGAATTTTGTGCTTGGGCCTCCCCCCCCAACCCTCCGCCTATATATGCCCACGGCGGCTGTACCTGTGTTTGTTGTGTTGTTTTTTACCTGGTACCAAAATATTGCTGATGGTTGCGGTCATAGCTTGTCTAGCCAAACCATGACAGCAACCCGTGGAATACTGTATTCTCCTCACCACCTTCCTATGTCGTCTTGACTTTTGGCACGTCTGGGACTACTCTTGCCTTCTCTACAACAACGACGGTGACGATCACAACAGGAGCCGTGTGCAGCAACGGACTCGAGGGTATCCAGTCGACCAGCCTGGACGCCTGGTGCGTGTAGAGCAGTGTACGGGAGTCCTGCAGTGTTTGTCGTCGGCGATGGCGTCGTCAGTCGTCGCCAAACCCACGGTCGTGTGCCTCACCAAGCGTGCATGGATCACTCCCCGTGTGGAAGACCCCAGCGCGAGCCGAAAGGCTGATCGGTAGACGAGTGCTGGTAGTACGGGGTGGTGTGCGTATCGTTTGTCGCATGGACGGTAGGTGGGTGCCGTGCTCATGTAATGCGAATCGTAGCATCTGCTGGTGCTGCTTGGCCAGTTGCTCTTGTTTCCCTCGCTTCTCTCTTCTTTTTTTTTTGGTGTTGGTAAATACTCTGGAGTCTTGTCTGCTCCAGTGCGTCCTCCCGTGTGCGCATCCCTACGCCTGTAAGTGAATTAACGTTGTAACCAAACTCCCACGCATGCATCGCCTGGCGTGCAAACAACATCGCGTACGTGCGCGAAGCTGTGTGGAGGAATGCGGACTCTGCGGCGGCGTCGGTTGCACCCCGGCCAACACGTCTAGCCTCACGTCGGCCGACTGCTGCGCGACCGAGATCACAGAGTCCGGAACCCTTTGCGAAGTTTCTATGGCTGCGCCGTGCATCATCACGACCGGTAAGCCCTGCTCGAGGCGTGGGTTGCTTGCGGAATCCGCCGCCATGGCCACCTTTTGTTGTGTTCTTTCTTTGGCGGTACATACACAATTGAAGCTGAGTGAGGTTTCCTCGTGCCCTTCTGACGTTTGGGCGCGGGTTCGAATCTCGTTGGAGTCACACGAACAGGGATAATACCTTACGATACGCCCACACATTGTGGCGACCGACAACGTCCTGCGTACGCAAGATTCGACTTGACGGTTCCTCTTTTCCTCCACCCCCCGCCCCGCCCCTCGGTGTTTGCCATCGGGGTTGGGTTCTCGTCGCTTGGCAACGACGTTGTAAAACAAGCCAATTCACTTCGTGAACTCGGCAACCAGGCAACCGTTTTTATTTTTACCTCTGTTTTTTTTTGGCGGTAACCATAATGGTGGTCGAGTAGATCATGTTGTGCGGGGTCGAGAAACCTCACTCCGCGCAAGGGGGATGATCGCACCACGTTGTGTTGAAATGGTCAAGCATCCTCGAGGCAGTTACACAATGCTTACAACTGTATCTGGAAGTGAAATCACCAGAAAATAAATTAAGTAATACGCAGCTGTCATCCGTACGCGAGGAAGTAAACACAAGATGCCGAATACCCCTAGCAGGATGCAGCGCACCCTTCATGCGACTCGCCGAATACCTCACGGCGCTTCGCGCTTGGTGATGTGAGAGCCTGGTCCGGTGCGAAGCCGGCGTGCTCCGTCCCGGCTTTGTAGGGATGCGAGGTCAATGGTCTAACGATTACGGCACGCACGACTCCCCCCCGCCCCCCTCGGTGTTTGCCATCGGGGTTAGGTTTTCGTCGCTTCGCAACGACGTTGTAAAACACGCCCCCCCCCCCGGTGTTTGCCATCGGGGTTGGGTTCTCGTCGCTTGGCAACGACGTTGTAAAACAAGGTAATTCCCTTCGTGAACTCGACAACCATGTTACCGCTTTTTTTTTTACCTCTGGTTTTTTGTTTGGTGGTTTTACAGAGGCAGTTACACAGTGCTTACAACTGTCTCTGGAAGTGAAAGCACCAGAACATAAATTAAGTCATACGCAGCTGTCATTCGTACGCGAGGAAGTATGCACAAGATGCCGAACACCCATAGCAAGATGCAGGGCACCCTTCATGCGACTCGTCGAATACCTCACGACGCTTCGCGCTTGGTGATGTGAGAGCCTGTTCCGGTGCGAAGCCGGCGTGCTCCGTCCCGGCTTTGTGGGGATGCGAGGTCAATGGTCTAACGACTACGGCATGCACGACTATGAGTACCCCCCCCCCCCCCCCCGCCGGTGTTTGTCATCGGGGTTGGGTTTTCGTCGCTTGGGCAACGACGTTGTAAAACAAGCCAATTCACTTCGTGAACTAGGCAACCAGGTTACCGGTTTTTTTTATTACCTCGGTTTTTTTTTTTTGGCGGTAACCATAATGGGGGTCGAGTAGATCATGTTGTGCGGGGTCGAGAAACCTCACTCCGCGCAACGGGGGATGATCGTACCACGTTGTGTTAAAATGGTCAAGCTTCCTCGAGGCAGTTACACAGTGCTTTCAACTGTCTCTGGAAGTGAAAGCACCAGAACATAAATTAAGTCATACGTAGCTGTCATCCGTACGCAAGGAAGTAAACACAAGATGCCGAACACCCTTAGCAGGATGCAGCTCACCCTTCATGCGACTCGCCGAATACCTCACGGCGCTTCGCGCTTGGTGATGTGAGAGCCTGGTCCGGTGAGAACCCGGCGTGCTCCGTCCCGGCTTTGTAGGGATGCGAGGTCAATGGTCAAACGACTACGGCATGAACGACTATGAGTACACCCCCCCCCCCCGCGCGCCCTCCTCCCCGCTCTTGATGCGCAGCCGCCGCCTCGAACGACTCGGTCTGCGATAACGGTCAGACAGGGGTACAGGACCCCGACACGGACGTGTGTTGCCCCCTGGATTGCGGCGACTCCTGCGGCGGCGAGGGCTGCGGGACCATCGCCGGGATAGACGCCTCCCAGTGCTGTTCCGCCCTCATCATCGCGTCCGGGTTTGTCTGCTCCGACTCGGTTTCCGCCCCCTGCGTCTTGGTAGACGGTAAGTGTTTGGGGCTTTGCGCGCGTCGGAAGGTGATGAAGAGAAAGAAAGGGGTCCATGCTGAGGGTGTGGACTTAAATCGTGACGTATTTGTGCGATGATGTTTCGCTCATTTGAAGGTGATGCTCAGGAAGGGGTCCATCCTTCGTATGTAGACTAACCTTGTGGCGTGTTTGGGCAAAATTCTTCGCGCATGGAAAGGTGATGGGCAAGTCAGAGTCCCATACAAAATTCTTCGTACGAAGTATGTAGACTTGCATCTTGACGTGTCGTGTAGTTTGTTTTTTGCGCATGGGAAGGTGATGAGCAGGAAGTAGTCCATGCTATTTTCCAGTTATGTAAATGTACCTAGTGCCGCATGCTGCATATTTGTGCGATGTATTCTATCTAGCTGCAGCCAATGTCCAGTTAGTTGGTGGTACTGCTGTATTTGCGTGCTCGTGAGCTGGGACAACTGTGTCTCAATCGAATCCAGTCTCTAACCACCAATGACACCATGCGAATCACCCGGAGGTGAGTCATCCACATGATCCCCAGCAGGCCCACTCATCACGAAGCAAGGTGATCAATCTTCCTCCGTTCAGTCTTGACGTACAGTCCCGGGGGACAAGCAGCAGTCGACTGATGCGCTATAGCGTGTTGGTAAACTCGTGGCTTCAATGATGTTGTATTGATGAGACCTTGGACCAGGAGAACCGGTCAAAAGGTAGAGTGGACTGGGTGCGCGAGCGCCACAGCACCAGCCATGTCGCTCGACCAACGCACAAACACGGAACTCGGACCAATGTACTATCCGACATACCGAGAACACGCTCGGGTCTATGCACCACCCACGAAGAACATTCCAGGAACATTCCTACAAAACGACAATCCCGTCATTTGAACTGTCCTATCAGTGTTCTACGTTACTCTGTCGACACACAGCAGCAACTATCACGAACAGTAGCGTTCGTTGAAGCTGCTGACACAATGACTGCTGGATCATGGGAACGATTTTCAAATTGTTGGGAGACGGAGCAACCACGATATCCTCGATATCTGGGCTTCGGCACAGGGCTTGCAACACCCCTCCCTTTTGCTGCCCTCTGCTCTTTGCAGCAGTGGCTTCCTACGTTCGGGCGAGTGTATGTGTGGTGCTGCGAAAGAACACATATGTATGTATGTATGTTCGTGGGTCTACGGACATGGTTTGGATATGTTAGCCGTACGTACAAGTGTGACGCAGATGGTGTAGAACCTTTTAGGTAGGGGTACGGTGATGATGCACCGGGGCCCCCTTTTGTTGTGTGCAGCAGCCCTGCTGCCACTCCTCCTCTCTGAGCACGACAGCGCCCTGGGTACGGGCGTTGCCTCATCGTCTGAAGTTAATACACTACACAAACAATACCCGATAAGTACGCGGAGTACGGCCGACAAACACTCTAGAGTTTAGATTGATTGTCCCTCGAGGGATAGCCGCATCGGGTCATGTCTGCGTCGGACAGCGGTTCCGTCGCAGGGCTGGGGGAAGAGACCTCAGCCACGCAACAGCAACACGCCGAGGATCCGGTGATTGCGAGGCTGGAGGGCCAGTTATCGCAGCTGATGAGCGTAGTGATGGAGTTGAAGAGGAAGGAGCCTGGTGACGCCGTGGCGGGCGATGCCAGTAGGGGCGGCGGTGCTGCCGTCCCAAGCCAGAGAGAGGCTCTGCCGCCTGGGGGCGGCGGGGCGTTTTCCCGGGAAACGGCCCGTGATGGGCGAAATCACCCGCGGGAAAGCAGCTGGGACAACATACCGGGAGCGAGTCCTGGGGTTCCAGCGAGAGTGACGACTGGCTGGGCAGGTAGATCGGGAGCGAATCCTGTGGGGCCAGCCGGAATGAGCCCGGGCGTAGGACCGGACCGCGGGGAAGCGAGGGGGTTAAAACCCCCAAGGTGAGCAAACCGCAATTCGAGGGGCCGGAGAATTTTTTGATGGGTACAGCAGTAGTAGCCAAAAACGTGTTACGGTCAACGCACCGCGTCTCGAAGGGGAGAGTCGCGGCCACGGGTACGACTCGTGGAGGAAGGCACTTATTCAAGCCGCAAAAACCGTAGGCTTGGACGGGCAGCTTATCGGCAACGCCGAGAAGCACGCACCCGTCGGTGACCCAAACAGGCCTAGCTCGGAGCTGTATAGCTTGGGCTACACAAGTGATGAGGTTCAGAGGGGCCTCCAGGCGTTCCACTTTGTGACTACAGCCATCGTCCGAGAAGCCGACAAGGCAATCGTGAATAAATGCGAGACCGCAAAGGAGATCCTTGCGGAGCTCGACAAAGTACACAACCCGGAGTCGCA